GGGGGCAGGGGTGGGTTTTTCGGGCTGTGCGGAAGGCGTCGAGGAGGGACTGGAGGTTGGATTCGTAGAGCGGGTTGGAGCGCGAGGTGCCCCAGTAGGTTGGGTGGGAGAAGGCGGCTTGGTTGTCGATCAGCACGAGGGCTGTGGGGAGGGAGAGGTCGAGCATTTTGATGGATTTGGGTGATTGATTGAGACCGGCAAAAGGCAATTGGATATATTATATACTTAGTACTAGGCACCTTAGCCCAGGTCATGACTCAATGTTGCAGTTTTTTGTCAGCAGTGAAAGGACGAAAGCTGATCTCTTGGCGCTGTCATATATCTGAACAGCCAATCAGATTTGCGCATACAGATCAGCCCATCTCGATGTTTCTGGTAGAGGAATGTTCCAATCTCTAACATACCTAGTATCAGTATGTCAGTTGACGGCCGAGTGGCAAGGAGGACCCATGGCTCAGTCTCTCCAGAAAGATCAATCTAGACCATTTCTCATACGACTGCAATGTCATCTACTACAAAAGCCATGGCGATTGGCCAGTCCGGCAGCTCAGCTGCTTCATCTCCTGATGTTGCTGAAGCTATAAGAGTGGTCCATTGTCAGCATAGGAATGGTCCCTCTGAAGACAGACAACCCCAAAGACAAAATGGCAGACCGATCTAGAGACCCCAAAAACATTCAAGCATGGCTCGTCGGCAGCGGCATTGAATCCCTCGCTGCGGCCGTGCACTTGATTCATGATTCAAAGGTCCCCGGGCCGAACATCCACATCCTCGATCTCCACGAGGGCTGTGGAGGGCGTATGAAGACCTTTGGAGACGCAACAGATGGTTACTTTCTCCCTGTTGAATGTCACCCGCACTTCCACGGCCCTTGCACCGAACGGTTCCTCTCGCTAGTTCCTAGCGATGATCCAGAATACTCCTCCATCATGCAGGCGGTTCGTGCCTTTAGCGAAGAGCAATCGGCCTCTGCGACTCCCAAGATCAAGCATGGCATCCAGCTGGATCTCAAGCACCGGATGGACCTGATCTGGTTTCTGATGGAGAGCGAGCACGCGCTGGGATCCAAGAGTATCAACCAGGTGTTTGACATGGCTTTTTTCCAGACTGACTTTTGGACGCTCTGGTCAACGACGTACGTTCCCCCCAGAGAAGAACAAGAAGGACACGGCTGATCAGCATGACTGCAGATTCGGCCTGCAACCCTGGCACAGCGCCGTCGAATTCCACCGTCATCTGCGCAAATACCTGGACGATATCCAGTCCCTCCACAGCATCAGATCCATCCACCGCACCAAGTTCAATCTCTACGACTCTCTCATCCGCCCTCTCACCACCCACCTCCAGTCCCAAGGCGTCGACTTTCGCTTCCAGATCGAGGTCACCAACCTCGAAACCTACCCAGCCAGCGATCCGACCACCGTTTCGGCCATTCACCTCCGCCAGGACACCCACGAGTATCTCGTCACTCTCGACCCGCAGGACGTCTGCATCGTCACGCTGGGCTCAACCACCACCAGCGCCGCAATGGGCACCAACACCAGCCCGCCCCCGCCTCTCTCCCACAACTGGGAAGCCCACCTGATCAGCGAATGGGGCCTCTGGCAGACCCTGGCCAAACAGGCCCCCAAATTCGGCGATCCGGCCTTCTTCCTCTCCCGCGCCGTGCAGGCCACCGTCGAAACCTTCACCACGACCCTCCGCGGCCGCGACTTCCTGGACCTCTACGACGACTTCACCCGCGAGCATGGCGAAGCCCGGCCGGGCTGGAGCACCTGGCTCCCCCTCAAGAAAAGCACCTGGGCCCTCTCGCTGAATCTGCCCCCGCAGCCCGTCTTCCCGGACCAACCGGACGATACCTACGTCTTACTAGGCTACGCACTCAACCCGGCCGGCGAGGGCAATAGCATCCGCAAGCCCATGTACGAGTGCTCCGGGCGCGAGGTCTTCGAAGAGGTCCTCGGGCATCTGGGAATCACCAAGTCTTCGGTTTTGGAGGGTTCGGTGACGGTCCCGTGTGGATTGCCGCTCGGCACGGCGCCGTTCGTGGCGCGCAGGAAGGGCGACAGGCCGAGGGTCATTCCGCCGGATACGACCAATATTGCCTGTGTGGGACAGTTTGTGGAGATGGACGAGGATACGACTTTGTCGATGGAGTATAGTGTGAGGTCTGCGCAGGTGGCTGTGTCAGGCTTGATGGGGACGGGGATGACCACGGGGAGGATCAAGAAGAATGTCTTGTGGGAGGTGTTTGATCTGATCAAGGCTTAGGTTGTCTTCAATGTATGGTCGTTGTTTTCTTTAATCCGCGCTGATCCGTTTGTATTCAATGTCCCCGGCATTTCCTTTAAAAGCTATGAAATCAGTTGACGCCATGGACGAGTGGCTGGCTGATATAGTTTGTATTTGATTCAAATGGAAGCCCTTTCATCCGATTGATACCCTAAGTAAACAATTGGGACGTCTTACCCGCATTTATCTTCATGCAGCCTCGACACAGACAATGAACGGCGGGGCAGGGTTGACCTAGTGATTATTGGCCTGATACGGCCGGATATGAAGCATGCAAGCAGATACAGCAGTGCCTGGAGTGAGAAGCATTAACCGTTGCCGCTGACTGGTTAGCATACTCTTTTCCAACCATTGCGTATAGCTGATATGCGATGTATACGAGCATTCCCTAGATTCTGCACTGCCCTACTGACTGAATGTCCGTGCTGCGTGTACTCTTCGTTCAACGTACAATAAGCAGCGTACGTCCACAGCATGTCAGGAGCGATGTACGAGATCCAATAAATCAGAAGCTGTAGGTCCGGAGATGCCGGTTCAGCTCGCCCAATGCTGCAATGGCATGATAATAGCTACAGTCAGGACTGACTACCAGCGTGGCTACCTGAGAGCATCAGGGACAAGCATCAATTCTTGCCCATTGGTGGATGCACCCTCCATAGCTTCTTGGTAATGCCAGCGAGCATGCAGTCTGTCTGCTGTGAACATAGGTCTAGAAGACTTCTCATCTGGATTGATGATACAAAGCAACAGATCCCATCGTTACCAGATTCGTCAACTCACCTGAAACCAAGCATGGACAACTCCTCACCTTCAACCTGCGCGTTCCCGTCGGCGTGCAGGTGGTCTCCCACCTGATCAGCGAAAACACCATCCTCGAGCAGTTCCTCTTGATCTTGAGCGCGACCCTTAGCGGCTGCAAGTATGACAAGCACAGGAAAGACCTCGACACCTTGACCCTCCACCTGCAATCCGTTGGTGGACGCGGGGAAACAGGGCCCGGCGGTGTGGTTCCTGTTGTGCCGGGTGGGGAATGATGCGGATGCGGCGGAGTCGTTGAAGATGCGGAAGTGGACTCCTGGGGTAAAGGATTTGGTCTTTTACCCGGAGGAGTCGATTGATGGGAAGCTGGAGGCGGTTGGGGTGGTAAGTCTTTTACCTCTATGTTTCAGGATTTGGTCAAGGCGATGGATCTGCAGGTTGTTGCTTGATCGTTCGAGTTCTATCGTCTGTGGCATCCGTTGGTTCAGTGTGTCGATGGCACCCTTTACAAAGTAGATGGCACATGTCATGGTGTGAAGAAGTTTAGGTATCGAAATGCATAACATTATATACAGAATGTTCAAAACACTCACTCATGAGTCGTAGAGCGGAGCCGGATCTGCTCCTCGGGCAGCCCCTCCTCACTCGGAACATGCTGGTACGGCTTCGTGCGCCGCCGCCGAAGCACCGTATACACACACGCCGCAATCCCGGCCACAAGACACAGGACCAGCACAAACGTAAACAGAGCCCCAATGTCCCGGACCAGTTCATACGTCTCGTGCGCGATCCGGAGGGCCTCCTCCGCGTCCGTGTCGACAGGAGTGATACTGCTGCTACCGCTTGTATCTGCCTTGTCGACCCCGGCAGCGACGCCTGTGTTGGCACCGGTTTGCGTGTCGGCTTCTTTCTGCGAGTAGAGACTGTAAGGATCAGCAGGATGCAAGTCGGCCACCTGGCCTTTGAACCCGGCTGCGGCCCAGTCGCCGGGCACACGGCTTCGATGGACCCGCGATACCCCCAGGACGTTGCCAGCGTGATCGACCGCCTCGGCAGAGACCCAGTCCAGGTATCCGTGGGCGATATAAACGGTCTCGAAATCCGTCTTGGTGGTGTTTCCAATGAGGACAGGCGGGGCGTTGGCTTCGGCGCGGGCGTAAAAATTCCACCGCGCAATGTCGGTGGCCCCGTTCCAGCTGACATGAAACGTCGTCACGAGATCGGATGCGTCTGTCCCGGCAACTGAGGCGACGAGGTCTGGCGGCGTGCTGGGCCGGCCGGTGAACTCGAACTTGTAGGCCCGGTAGGTCGAGAAGCGAGTCGAGTTGAACATAGCACTCAGCAAGACCTCGCCTTCGGGGGCAAACTCTGTGATGTACCCGCGCTCACTCCAGCCGACAAACATATTGTTGTTGGGAAGCAGCTGCGCGTTCCCGCGCAGCCTCGTCAGCCCTCCGTCAGGGCGGTTGTAGCGCCGGATGACCTTGGCGGTCATGGGTCGTACGCCGGTGTCGAGCTCCACGATCAGGGCGCAGGAGACGGGCTCGTCATTCGTATCCTCGTCGGAGGCGTTGTTGAGAAAGGAGATGATGTGGTGAGTGCCGTTGGACTCGACGAATTTGATGTCATGTTGTTTGGAAAAGGTAAAGTCCTGCACAAAGTCGCTGTGCTGGCCTCCGAGCCGCCACATGATGCGTCCGTCCACCCCCGAAATCATGTAGATGGTGTTGGTGAAGCGAAAGGACACAATATAGTCTCCCGCATCATTCCTGTCGACCGAGTTGGCATGCACGTAGTCCCAGCCCGGGGGCCCTTCCGGCATCGAGTCGGGCCCATAGTGGACCGACTCGTGTAAGGGGACCTGGTTGTAGGAGTCCCATTCGAACAGGATGTCCGCGGTGTCGAGATCCAGCCGCACGAACCCACCGCTCAGGATTGCCGTCCGCTCTTCTGGGCGCCCAAAGTCCTCCAGACTGATCTCGTGCTCTCGATAGGTCATCGCCAGGCCCGTTTTGCCGTCATCGAGGATATTGAATTCGTGAATATCAAAGGCGCCCAAATCTGGTCGAAAGGGGAGCTCTTTCTGAATCTCATAGTTGTTTTTCAGAATCACACCATGGCCCTGATCTATATTGTCCCATGAATGCTGCCAAACCAACGAGAGATGCGGCTGATCCCCGAGACTGTGGACCGCTTTGAAGTCAAAAACGTTCCGGTTGTCGAACATGGGCGATCCAGCCCAGATGAGAGTGCCGTCGCCATCGTAGATGTACGGTCCAATCTGATACTGTTCGAATCGATGGGTCGGTGCTTCGGGCTCGATCTGACCATACGGAGCGACGAACCAATAACCAGGACTCACACGGTCGCGATCTTGGTAGTGAACGTCGAATTTCAAGGCTCGTATTTGAGGGAGCTGGAGATGACAGATCTCGTATTAGCACGGTGATCGATCTCTCGCAGCGGTTCGTGAGGCGGAGAAAAAGAAAGAAACCCAAGTAGCTTACCGTCACAAAGGACATGAGATCCTCATCATGCTGCTGTGCGGCCACATTATGCAGAAAGAGCGGCAATAATAATGACAAGGCCCATTGCAGCATTGTGAGAGACTTGAAAAGTCGAAAAAAGAGAGAAAGACTCTGGGAGAGTGTCAATTATTGTTGCGACAGAGCGATAAGACAAGAAAATGCGGGTCAGATCGGTGCAGCCTGTCAGACTGAGACAGTCGGAAGGCTTGTAGTACAATTCCGCATAATAATAATTTTCAAAAAGGGGAAATGAGGAGCCGTTGATCAGGTACGTTGCCGAGACTGCTTCAGTCTTCACTAAGCTCGGTTCCAGATCATTATTGGATCTCCCAGGCTGATGCTGGGATTGCTGGATGATCTCGCCGGTCGAATGTTTCCACAGATCCCCACGAGATGACGAGGCCTTGTCGGATCATGCTTGGCGTTTCACTGTTGGCTTGTGGCCTGTGGGACTCCTCCGGTATACGGAGTAGGTACAAGTACAACGGAGCACAGAGATGTTTGATTGATCATTGAGGAAATGTTTAGCGATTTGTCCTAGAGTGGATAATCTCTTGTTGCTGTATTCCAAGCGATATTAGCAGCCTCTTGGCAGAGAAGTTTCTGCGTGTCTGATTGGCTGACACAGAATGCATTCCAGAGGCACGTGGCCAATCAGGTGACTCCACTCAGTTATCATAATTTCCACAAATGCTTGGCCAAAGGACTTAAGCCTTTACCACTGCATAACTCGTTAGATTTCTCCCGGTCTTCTTGGAGGCTACTGTGTGACAAAAACGAATCTAGTCTATCGTACATTACAAGCATGTCTAGGCCAATCCCATACAAGCAGCATAATACGTCACCGTGGCCGGCCAATCCGAGAAAATCCCCTTGACGCCCACCTTTCGTGCCAACGCATCCACAATGCGATACATATCCCCGTCCCCGGTGATCGTCGACTTGACAGACTGGATATAGTACTCTCCCTGGGCGGCGGCCGCGGCCTTCAGGGGGCCCGACCGCTCCAGCGACCAGGTGATGATATCCAGCCCGGCTTTCTTCGCCGCGACCGCATACGCCGACGGCACGATCTCCCCGTCCGCGGTGGTATTCAGCAGCGCAAAGATGGGCGGCGACATGATCTTCACGCCCTTCTTAGCAAGGTCGGCCATCCCGTCCACGGCCTCCTGGTATCCGGCCGCGGTATCGACGCGCTCATCGAGGTAGATCGCCTGCTTGCCGAACGCAGGCTCATGCTGAAGCCAGTAGAAGATGTCGTCCGGCAGGAAAGACTGCGGCCAGACGCGGGAGGGGCGGATGCCATGCGCCTTGTAGTCGTCGATGAGCTGCTGCGCGTACATCGCCTGCGTGTAGTTGCCGCCAAACGGCATGGCCACCTGCGGCGTCTTCAGCTCCGGCGTGAACTGCAGGCCCAGACTGTCCACGAGCTCGATGTACTCGTTGTGCTCCATCAGCGTGCCGCATGTCGCGTATAGATCCGTCCGCCACGCCGGCGTGCCGTGCTGGTAGTCCTCGGGCGTGGTCGCGGAGGCGTTGTACCCGTCCATCTTGGCGCAGAGGGACTTGAACTCGGCGAGGGTGATGTCGGAGGTGCAGCACTTGGCCGTCGCGGACTTGCCGTTGGCGGCGGGCTGGAAGGGGACGCTGCATTTCGCTGCCAGACTCGGGATGGTGAGGATGTTGGTCGTCGTGTGCAGGTCGCACTGGGAGTGGCGGCAGACGAGCTCGCGGTCTGAGGTGAACGCGACGTCGCATTCGACGATGCCTGCGCCCATGCGCGCGGCGGCCAGCATGCCCTCGCGGCTGTGCTCGGGGAACTCGAGCGGACCGCCGCGGTGGGAGATGGAGAACGCGGGCGCGCGCTTGATGCGCTGCTCCGAGCAGGACTGGAGTTTCTCTTTCAGCGGGCTGTCGGCCATTGCGTTGATCAGGTAGTACGGACGAGGTCCGACCTGGATGTTAGTGACTGCCGGGCGAGATTCGTGACCATTGCCGCGGTGGTTGAACGAGGGTGCGGCTGCGGCTAGGCCGGCAGTGAGGACCAGAGATGTGAGGTGCATTGTGCAGGCGTGCAAATTATACTTGCACTTGTAGGCAGGAGATAGACGGACTATCTGTATTTCTCGCTCCAACCGAGGTCACATAGCGCTTTTATAGCCTCGAGGTCAAATATCCACTAGATAAATACCTCCCAGCCTCTTTCCATGATGGCATGCGCACATGGGGCCATGCGCTTCCCAATGAGCATGGCAGCAATATCTCCCCCCCTGCAAGGTAATTTCAGCTGATATTCTTCACCAACCCGTGCACAAATCATAACATCTGACTTGCTCGAAATCTCCACGCGTCTCCAACTTTTCTCCGCTTTGAGAGCAACGCTGGTTCTTGGCGCTCTTGGCATGGATGTCTTGGCGGCACATGCATCCATCGTTGATGGTGATTGAGTCTCCAGTAGTTGAAGGATTGGACTCAGTGAAGAGGTTGAAATAGGTGCCTTCAGTGGCTGGTCGTGAATTTCTCTCGCTGGAGCTGTCAAAGAACCAAGGTAAAGCTGTCTCCATTGAATTCCTGTTTTGTCTTCAGTTTCTAGATTCATTCCCTGTCGATCCTTATCAGGCGCCCACGTGGGAGATGCATCGATCAGCACGAGGCAAAGTGAGCTTTTTCTGGAAGGTCAGAGCGAATCGTAAGGATACGATAACCAATAATGCGGAACAAGTAGAGTGGCAACGTCCTGCGAGAAGAAGTACATGGAGACCAAGAAGGTTGTATCGCAATTGAGCCCTTGGTCTAGACGCAACTCAAAGAGAATGAAAGTTAAAAAAGAGCAACGCACAATATATAAGAGACATGATCAACAAATGCTATGTACAATCCGAATCCAATCACGCTCAAGCCATAGGTATCAGATAAAGACTCCAAATTTTCGCTTCACCACAGCTCGACCAAATCAAAGCATGGGCTTGATATCGTCCGCAACCTTGAATGGAGCTTCCGTCTTGCTGCGGACCTCTTCGACAGTAACCCCATCGGCAAGCTCGACCAAAGTCAATCCGTCAGTAAAGTCGACATCAAAGACACAAAGCTCGGTGATGATCCGGCTGACGCAGGTCTTGCCGGTGAGAGGGAACTCGCACTGCTTGACGATCTTGGGGTTGCCCTTCTTGTCTGTGTGCTCCATAGTCACCACCACCTTGGTGGCGGAGGGGTTAGAGACTAGGTCCATTGCACCTCCGAAGCCCTTGATCTTACCGGGGAGCATCCCTACAACACATCAATCAGTCACGACAGGTAACGGAGGAAGAAGGGGAACTCACAGTTGGCCAGATCACCACGGGCGCTCACCTGCATCGCACCTAGGATGGTCAGGTCGATGCGTCCGGAGCGGATCATTCCAAACGACTCATCACTGCCGAAGACGGCCGCACCGGGAATGAGGGTGACGGTCTCCTTGCCGGCGTTGATCAAGTCCGCGTCCTCCTGGCCCTTCTTAGGGTAGGGGCCCAGACCGAGAATACCGTTCTCCGACTGAAGCATGACTTCCACCGAGGGATCGACAAAGTTGGGCGCCAGCATGGGCATGCCAATACCCAGGTTAGCATACATGCCGTTCTTGAATTCCTTGGCGGCACGACGGACGATGCGCTCCCGCTTCGCGGCCGTGTCGCCCTTGCCCAGCGCGGCAGTGTCGTCGCCATCCTCCTTGGCAAAGGTGTACTTCTCGATGTTCTTTGGCGCCGTGCTCTGAACGACGCGCTTGACATAAATACCCGGCAGGTGGATGGCAGCGGGCTCGATCTCGCCCGGTTCAACAATGTGCTCGGCCTCCACAATGGTCATCTTGGCGTTGCGGCCCATCGCGCCGTTGAAGTTCGCCGCGGCGTACCGGAACTGGCAGTTACCCAGCTTGTCCGCCTTGTACGCCTTGACAAAAGCATAGTCGCCCTTGATCGCCTCCTCCATCACATAGCTCTTGCCGTCGAAGACCTTGACGTCCCGCGGCTGGCTGTACAGAGCGACCGTGCCGTCGGGGTTATGCTTGAGCGGCAGCTCGCCGGTCTGGACGACCGTTCCACAGGCCGCTGGGGTGAAGAAGGCAGGGATGCCGGCGCCACCGGCACGACACCGCTCGGCCAGCGTGCCCTGGGGCGTCAGCTCCAGCTCGATTTCGCCGGTCAGATACATCCGCTCGAAGGTCTTGTTCTCTCCAACGTAGCTGGCAATCATTTTCTTGATCTGCTTGGACTGGAGGAGGAGACCCAAGCCAGCTCCATCAACGCCTGCGTTATTGCTGACAACGGTCAAGCCTGTGATCGAGGGGTTGGCGCGCACGGCGCTGATCAGTGTGTCGGGAACACCGGACAGACCGAATCCTCCTGCAAGAAGGGTGGAGTTGGACTTCATATCCTTGATCGCTTCCTCGGCAGAGGCCACCACCTTGTTGATCTCATTCCGGCGAAGGCTGCTCGAGAATGCTCGTGCGAGGAATCGTTGGTGCTAGAGAGCAGTTGTTAGTCGGGCACATTATTCCGAATAATCGTGCTGAATACCTTTGTGGGATTGGCAGAGAACTGCCGCGCAAGGCGCAGACACGTCGTTACTTGTGAAGGCATTATGAAGGGAGGGTGTAAAGAGGGAGGAAATAAATTACAGCTCGACGGAAGCTGCAACAGTCGCCACTCGTTAACAATGCTCGTCCTCAATCACAAAATCAAGAAATCCTTAGGGATTAGACTCAAAACCAAGACTAGGAGAGGAGATTATGAGATGCGTCCACGTCAAGGTCGAGGCGATGCGGAGAGATATAAGAAGCTGGACACGAGCGGCCATTCGCGGAGTTGCGGAAAGTCACCCGCGCCCGCCATCCTTCCCCGGAAATACCCCGCACTTTTGCTCCAACCGCCCATTATCAGTAGGTAGCATTTCGGTTATGTACTTGAGCATGAACGCAATGTGAGCAAGAATACTCATTGAAATCAGATGATTCTCTTCGTTATCTACAGATACCGCTAACTGAATACACCTTGAGCACTTCATATTAAAACGCTTCCAATCCGTGGCGACAGACTCAACCTCATCCGATGTGGGCAGCCGATGCCTCTGCTTTTTCCGGTTCCGATCCGCGGGCCGCTCTAAGCCTCGAACTGTCCGCTGACTTATCACAACCGTGTCACGTGCTTTGTATCATAATTCATGGTATCTTTCATTATCTACATGGACAAAAAGTAATAGATCGAATCCCGCTAGTACGCACAGGTATCAGAAGAGATGATATGACCGGAGGAACCCAACCATGTCGGCTGAGACAGACAACCCCTGAATAGAGTCCACCATCATGCACGACTCATGTCGCCTTCGTTCTTGCGTTTGAGTGGATTCGGTGTCGTGGAAGGGGTCGGAGAGACTTTCTCTATTCCTACCAATCCACATCACACTTATCAGCCTCGTTGTTCGCTGACCATGTCGGAGCACGAGACTTGCAACCCGCCGCACCGACAGGTGCTTACTTTACATCGAGGACAGATTTCGTACCTGAATTCTGAGTATCAGCCAAAGCCTCATCGTAGGCAGGAGGTTCCATGTCCAGATCCTCTTGTGGTGTCGAGGTTGTCGCAGCGACTCCTTCCATGGGAATAATTGCTTCTGTTGAGGCGATAGTCTCGCTGGGTGCGGGATCTCCAATAATCTGCCTGCAAACAGGATCGACCAAACGATCCTTGAGAGCATCGTTGACGTAAACCACAAAGTATGGGGTGGGAGGGTTCTGGCGTTCTTGGTTCTTGAAAATTTCGTCCGTGTTGGACACTTCGGTAACTTCAGTGTCGTTGTACTTGCGCCAGATATTCTTCCTGAAATCAAAAATGTAGATATAATAATGACCGAACTCGACAGACCCATGGTGCACAAAGACCGCATATAGCCGATATGCCAGATGTTTGAAGTCAACAAACTGGCTGGAAATCATGGTTTGGGTATCTTTGATCTCTTGTTCGACATCTGGAATGTAAAGGGTCAGCCAAAGACGCTGCGAGTGCCTCGAACAAGGAAAAAATGCTCACAGTTCAATTCGGCTTTTGCAATCTGAGAGAGTTGGGCTAGCTCAGATGGAAGCTGTGGGTTGATGTCGAGGGCATCGTCAGCAGTTTCAGGATCCGCCTTTAGATCATTCAAGTCTTCAATAACCGCTCTGGCGCTATCGAACAGAGTTGCCATGTCGATGCCGTCATTTTCCTATCATCCATTAGATTCTGACACAACACTGATATATGTCATTCCTTACGGTTTGACGTAGCAGTTCGGCACGGCGATCTCCAAGCGTCTTTAACGTATTCTTCCATTCCCAGCACTGCCGTCGTCGATTCATGATCTCAGGATGCTGCGTGTCCATATACCGATCAAGGTAGATCGTCTCCTTGAGTTCAAGGTGATGAGTGGACTTGAAAGAGCTCTTCTTGATCGGGTCGAATTGTACTCGTTGCACTTGAATCTGAAGAACCGGGGGGAGCTTGCTAATGGCACCGAATTGTTCCACGACGGTATCATCGACATTGACTTTTTGGGCATCAAATGCGCCATCGATCGCTGAATAAATATCACGAGGTCCCGTCGCGACATCGACCTTGATATCACACCACCATTCCTCCTTGGACCGAACACCCGCTTCCGCAAGGATATATGACTTGGCCCGTCCGTAGAACAAGCTATCAACTATATGTTAGCGCCGTACATTGAGCGGGTCTACGCGTCGTTCAAACCTACTCTTTCACCTGGTCAAGTTGTTCGCCATCCTGGGCGAATGCGATTGGCTTGATTGCGCATTGGCTTTGGAAAAGGACATTGTTGATCACTTCGGTGACATCCTGCTGAGCACCTATTTCTACCTCCTCCAGAAGCTGCTTTTGAGGATCAACTTGTGTTACTGGTCGTGGAGGTACTGGAGGGGGCTGATTCGGTGGCCCGAAAAGGATGGCCGGCGCCCCATCTTTGGGAGAAAGATTGCCCTCGATATCTTGAGATAGTGGGATATCTGTCAACACGGCGTCCGCGGGTGGCGCTTCATTCTCCTTGTCCTCGTTGGAAGCCAACGACGTACCTGGCTTGGCTGTTTCCGAGACAAGGGTTGCTTCACTATCCACGTCGCTTGTTGTTTTGCGTTTGGGCTTTTCTGTCTCGGCATCCGTTGGACTATGGCTTCGATCTGCCGTTGGCAGAGGCGGACCGAGGGGACCCATGATAGGCATGCCACCAATTTCTCCCAGTCCGCCAGGTCTGGTCATAGATATCGTCGACCGGCGACGAATTGCTGCTTCATTGGACGGGCTTATTAGCGTCAAACGTGCTAACTCCGGACCAGGAGTCACAAAAGAATTTGATGAAGTGATCATGTTTTGAAACAGCGTCCGTAATTCTCTCAGGACTGCAAACGAAGAGATCGGTCAGCCGCTCGGAGATTGCACATACAAATGGACAACACCTACACGTTTGAGAACGCTCAACCTCTTTTTTCAAAACTTTGCGGGAACCAACTTGTTTCTTGCTTAAACTCTCGTCGTCAAACTCCATCTTGAAACTCTCAAAGTCCAGGACCATCTCTCGGAACGGGCGAACAGAGAAATAAAATTGTAGTAAGCTATTGAGATAGCAGGTATTGCCAATGTTCTGCAATCCGACAGGCCACTCGGACAAATCACGGCCAGATTCGGCACCAGGCCCCGAGATCATACTGCTGAGTAGAGAGCTATTCTTGTCCTTAGCGATGATGCTCAAGGCTTGATTGTATCGTTCGGCTTGTCCGGGAGCTTCGTCAACACAAATTGTGTAAGCTGCCATAATTGCTGCATCGTCCACTGTGCGATCAGGAATCTGGAGCAAACGATAGGCATCGGCGACATCCATTTCCCCGGTTGTCATTTCGCCGGTCTTCAGAAAATGGCTCAAGACAGCCGACTTTCGAGCTTCCGCTATTAGCTCAACAGCACGCCTTGCAATATCCCTAGTCGACGGATTGTCGTTGACCTGACACAATCAGCATCCAGGCCTTATTCCAAAACCAACTAGCCCATTACCTTCGTGGTATACATGGTCAGAACGAACTCGTCGCTTGTTGTACTGTCGACGCCGAGGAAGACCTGGGCTTGCTCAACATTGGTGACCCCTTGCTCAGCCGTTAGTAGAGTAGTATAGCAGAAATTAGACCAGAAGGAAGCACTCACTGTCTTCCGCCGCGGACTTGATACGCTCACTTCTTCTACTATCCCCGATTCTCCAGAGCCGAATGCGCGATTCGTTTTCCTGCGTAGTAGAACTCATAAAAGCGTAGAACTTTCCAACTATGCTTTCGTCGGTGAGACGAGGATCATTGTGATCAAGTCCGAAGTACCTGTAAGCGTCCACGATATCCTCATCGGTGTATCGGCCCTCGGCATACGCTAATTGGACCGCCGTGTCTATGATCTGGGCATCTTCGCCACCCCTCAAGTTTCCAATAGACTTGAGACATTGTAGGTAAAGCGGTGACCTTGCTGAATCAATGGAAACTTGTCTATTGAAGGCTTCAACGACTGAGGATGCCGACATGTCCTCAACAACACCCAAATCTTCGTAGTAACTAGATATGTGGTCAACCACTCTGCAGATGAGACTCTATTAATGTGAACATACGGTGCAGGTGCCATTTGGAACTCATTCGCCCTCAAAGCTTTGGGATCTGGAGCTGTGTTAGCAACGCGTTTCTGGGACTCGCAAGGTACGACTCACAATCTGAAGCATCCATTGCATAGAGAATATCATTCAACGCTGGAGTTTCAGTATTCTGCACCTGATGGCCCTTCTTCTCCGCCAAAGGCCGCTGCTCTATAAGTGCAGAGAGTTCATGTATAACGTCGTCGAGAAAGATCTTCAGCTGATCCTGATAAGGATACTCCGCCCAGGGATTTGGTTTGGGAGGCTCCCAAAATCCCTCATTCTGAGCAAAGATTAGAATTAGATCTAAACCCCGAAGGGAGGTACGCGATACAGACCTCCATGGAAAACCCGAGAAATTCCAACAGGTTTTTGCACGGTCTTCCTTCAACGCCGAAACAAGTCATGAATCTCTTGTTTATCGCAGATATAGACTTGCTATGCTGACTGTTATGAAGGGCATTGGATATGTAGGTGCGAAGATTCTCTAGGACCGTGATAGGCGACGGTCGACCAACACCTTCCAGACGCTCAGGATGTGTCGCAATAGCCTCGTCCGCCCGCTGTCGCAGCAGATCAGGGTCTACCAGCAGCCGCACCCATTCGTCAGCAAGAATTGGCGATGCGATTCGCACGGACACCGTCACAGGACATGTGAGATAGGAACACTCATAGTGAAATGTTTCTATAGTCTGTCCCTTAGGTGAAACCTCCGCCGGCGACGCGCCTCCTTTCTGCCTTCCAGATTTATAGACCAAATGGTGCAGGTGATCCGTGAACCTTTGGCTGGGTTGACCAATGCCGGGAGTCGAGCTAACGACAAGTTGAAGATGATATCGACACTTCCAGCATACCGCTGACACTTTGGAGGGATTTCCGGTACTTCTTTTCTGCTCCGCTTGGGGTAGAAAGCTCTGGTTCGATTTGGTCA